GTTTAGTTTATCATATATACATATTATTTGTAGTTTATTTGATATATCACACATTATAATCAGATATATCTTTCTACCTGTAGTCCCTAATGGCCAACAAACTTAGTCTGTTTTTAGGAAGGCTACAACTTTGGTGTTCAACATATTGTTTCAGAAATGCAAACAATTAAATATTGAAATTTAAACTTCTTGGTTGGTTTTATGTTGTTAAAGTTAACTTTATGAAAAGAAATATGACTGTTTGTAAAAGGAAATTATTAAATTAGTTTTTTAATTATTATTTATTTCACATGGGTTTGAATCAGATTTGGTCAGATGGTCATTTTACACCCAGATGGGGCTTTACACCCACTGACTCGACTCGAGTCAACTTACCCCTAACCTGGGGCAAACTGAGCCATGAGAACACTTTTTTTAAAGCCATATTTTTTAGAACCCTTTGTCATAGATACATTCTGATCCTTTAAAATGATCGGAATACTTTCATTAGGATAGGAAAAATACTTTCATTGTACTTCTGCATCATTTTAACTTATCTTGAGGACCACATAAGTAACAAATGGCTAAACCCCACTCTCCCCTATAAGTATTAGACATTTAATTTAATATTTTACAGCATAAATCTATATTATATACTAATAAACAACTAATTTGGAGCATTTATTACATTTAGTTATACTTTTAAATTTAGTAATTTATTAATTCAGTCATTCTTGAGAAGTGGGACAAAACAGGGTGCAAAATTTAAAAAATAAAACCTTGTACTCAGACAAATGAAACTACATTTATGCATCTTATATGTACTAAGCTACTGAGCTATGCTTTGATACAACCTCCCAACCTTTCTCTTTTTTAACAAAATGTGCTTTTTTACCTTGGACTGTGTAATATAATTTCAGCTTAATCTTTAACAGCATTCAAGATGTTTTTAACATTTCAAAACACATTCTCGTGTTAGCAGACAGATTACACTTTCACATGTGACCAATAATTCCACAACAAATATAAAATATCATAATGAAATATTATCAAAATATTCAACTGACGGAGGTGACAGAACTGACGGAGTTGACACATCTGACGGAGGTGACGAAAACCTGAATTTGTAGTCATTTTAACTATCAAATACATTGAATCAGTCAATTACTGTATTAAAACAAACACAACAAACAGTGAGTATGTTATTGTTTATAAAGCTTTTATTCAAGAGTCACATTTAAGTATTTTGATATATCA